AATTATTTTTATGCATTTGCCTTCAAATTGTGTTGTAAATGAAAAGTGAAATTATGAATAAAAAATGCAACAATACATTAACATTGGATTTTATATTTGCACATGTAGTCACTAGAGAGCTTTATTTCTTCAATGACATTGAGTTACTGCCTAGTGTGCTTCAATATCGACCTTAAAAACATCCTTTAGCATTTTGTGTAGGGCAGGCCTGTTGATAAGGGACTGTCTTGGTTTTTGTTTATTTGAGAACATCTTAATTTCTTCCTCATTTTTTGAAGGGTAATTATGATGGATTAGAATTTTTTTTCCAGCACCTTAAATATGTCATCGCATTGCCTTCTGGGCTTCATAATTTCTGATAGAGAAATCCATTATTTTAAAATTTATTTTCAGATTATTATTATTTTTAAATTCATTCATTCAATAACTATTAATGAATCCAGACCCCAATAGAGCTTACATTTTAATTGAGGAGATATACAATAAATATAATGAATTAGTAAATTATATAGTATTCTGGAAGGTGATAAATGCTATGAAACAATAAACATCAGGATGGAGGATAGGGAAAAATTGTGTGTGTTGTTGAGGGGGAGGAGATATGCAATTTTAAATAAGGTAATCAGGATTGGCCTTATTGGGAAAAGATTTGATGAAATGAAGAAGTTTGTCATGCTACTATCTTGGTGGCCAGCATTCTATAGAGAAGGAATAGTCAGTATGGGTCCTGAGGTTGTAGCATGGTTGGCAAAGTTACAGAACAATAAGGAAGCCAGTGTAGATGGATCCTTGAATCCTAATAAGCACAGGAAAGAACAGGTGAATACGGAGGAAGGGTGGAAAAGGCCACATCATAAAAGTGCTTCTAGGCCATTGTAAAAATTTTGGCTTTTCCTTTGAGTTAAATGGGAAGGCAGTAGAGGGTTTTGAGTAGAGGGACAAGATGATATGATGCTGTTCTTAAATAATCTTTCTGGTTACTTTATTGAGAATCAACTGTGTAAAGGAAATGGGGTGGAGACTATTGTAATAATGTTTTTGAACATTTGTTTTTTTGTTTGGCTTTGCCCTATTTATGCATTAGCTCATTTAATTCTCACATCAGTACTTTGAAGAAATTATTACTTTTCCCTTCTTCGCTGATGAATTAAGTGAAGCTCAGAGCAGAGAACCCCTTGCTTGAAGTCCTCCAGTAAACTGTTAGTGAAGATCGGATGTAACCCATGTCTGTTGATTGGACTATCCTGGTTGTCACAACTCTAAAATTCTGTGCTTCATTACCCAGCTACATGCAGTTTTGGCCCTCCCTTCCAATTCACTGGCTCTCTAAGCAGAATTTCTTCTTATATTTTGAGAATTTTGTCCCCATAATTTTTTTTCTGAATCAATAACTTAGGAAAATTAGACATTTCTATGAGGAAAAATCAACAAGGAAGCACAATGTAGTTTTTGAGGAATGGTTGGGTGAGTATGTTTAGAAAAGAGAGGACTCTCCATAACATATATTTTACTAGCCAATAGGAAAATAGTAAGACTTCTTTTAGTTTTAATATTAGTTTTAATGGTTTTAAAGAAAAAATAGAAATTAAATCTGTCACATTATCACATATGCAAAGAGTGTAAATATGTTAAACATATTCAGTATAATTACCACAACTTGAAAATACTTTATTCACTACAAACTGTATATACATTGACTTCTTGTATAAACAGATTTTTCACCTCTATATATATGTATTAAAACACAAAACTAATGACCTTGTGCAGCCCTACTGAACTTTATTCTTTATTCCTGCTTGGCCTTAAGGGAAATTTTTCCAACCTTATTATTCTACATGGTCCCTGTCATTCTGGATTTCCTTAGCTTTTGACACATTATCAATGACAAGTAGGAAATTGTTACTGTTAGAAGTGTGAGAAATGTTTGTAATTCTCCTGCTTTTCTATTTGATGAAATAGTTTACCAGGTACTAATCAGAAAATTTTAGAGGAAACTTTTGCATATACAAAAACTAAATTCATATGTTGAGTTGGCCAGCATTTATTTTTCACATTCATTTTGTATTTCATAGGCTTGATACCAAGCTTCTAGGTATTCTTTATGTGCTTTGTAAGGGTGGGGTTCACTCTGAAATTGCTCAGTTCGCTGTTTCTAAGACATCGGCATGATCTGGAAAAGGACATGAATTCGGCTCTTGGGTCAGAAATGTCACCATCATAAAGTTAGAAGCCTGAATAATGCAACAGTATACTATACTTGGTAAAAAATAAAAAAGTGTGAGAGTGGATTCTGTAATAATTATGTCTGCTTTAATCTTTTCCCATACAGGTAATTTCAATATCTTGTACTTTGTCCAGATGCAAAATAGTAAGCAATGTTTATTTTTGATTTAATGTGTTTTGTTTAAAAGAGAATCCTTGCAATGATGTAAACCTTTTTGATTCTTTCATATTTCTTTAAAAAATATTTTGAAGTTTTCTGATACTGACCTAAATAAAAAAACCTGGGCTGTTTTAACCATCTGCCTAGTAGTCTGAGCCAGTGTTTGCCTCCAAACAATGGAAAGATTCACACTGAACTTTAGAAACAGAGGGTAGAGTAAATTTTGAAGGCAGATTCTTTCAAAGCTTAGCAAATATGAAAACACTGGCATGACTTTATTTAAAAATGAATCCCACTGAATTTGATTTTGTGCATTATTCTGTAATTCTTACCATCAAAATTCAGACAGAAGGGTGAAAATCTTCTCTTTTGTATTTCACTCTTGTTTTATTATTACTGTTTAAATTTTTGAACTTAAAAAATTCTGCCTATACAACTCAGTTTAAGGGCCATGAGCAGTGAATGAATGATACCAGCTTTTTTTCTGGAGAGCATTGAAAAAATACTGTCCGAACCTTGAGTATTTCTGTCACACTAGAATCGAGGTGCTCGGTAAGCAACACAGCAATCAATATGTTCACAGAAGCCAAACCAAACCAACAATCCAACTGACGAGGCCAATATTTTTCCTTAGAAATAAATGTCTTAGAAAATTCTACTGAATTTCTCTAATATGTGAGGGCCAGGAGTTACAGTTTTCAAATGTATGATATTTGGGTAGTGGCTGATGACATTAAATTTGAGGGCTAAACTTTACATTCTTATTTTACAGCTGAATATGGTTCCATATGTCTAAAACATTAATTAATGTTAGTACCATGTCATTCACAAATTTAAGAAAATGATAACTGTTTTTACATATTAGGCTTTTTCTTGACACTTTTACATTGTATGGTAAACATTCATATGTTTTAAGAATGAACATTCAAAAACATTATATTCAAACAATTAGATACTATATAATAATAAATTTGCTTATTTAAAACATGCACACAAGCTTCACAGACTTTATTGAGCATATGGGAATGCTGTAATGACCACTTATTATTTCAGTATTTGATTTTAATTCTTTGAAGTTGTTGCATTCATTAAATGATTGAATGTGTAGGCTCATTTGTATGTGTGTGTGTCTCTTTGTTTATTGGTATCATCAGAAGAAATTCAGCTGGAACACATATGTTTAGCTTGGTTAGACTTTGAACATTTTGTAACAATTGGACATTTCTGGTTTTGGCTTCAAAATAGGGAAGAGGTTTGAGAAATAGACCATGATTTGCCGTTGAATATTTGCTTTTATTCTGTTCTTCAAAAATATTTTGTTTTAATATTGGTGGAGGCACAACAATAAAGTGTTAGAGAGTATTATTTTAGACAAATATCTGTAAAAGTCAAACTGAATAGTTTAAAGGAGAAGTTTATACTACACATTCACATTCTCAAAAAGTTTCTGCTTTCTTGAGCAGAACTGACGGTATCCCTAATTCAAGGAAAGATGATCTATAAGCACTGAGGTCTGGATGTTACTTTTTACACTTAAAAGTATTTCTTGTTATGTTATGAGTCTTAGAAATGTGCTAGTATATATCTTCTTGTAGTAAAACTGACGCTTTCTTAGGACTGTTATCTCATTTCTTTCTGGTAAGACTTCTGAATAATCTAAGGAAATGAAAGGAAAGGTCTGTCTGTGGAAGGAGGAGTGTTAGACTCACCCTCTTGCTCAGCTGGTATTAGTTCACACATATCCGAACTATTGTGCAGGTTTGTTTTCCAAGAGGTAACTCACCTTTCCACACTTTGCCTGGTTTGCTCATATGTACCATATATTGGTATTTTTCAACCATATTTTCTTTCGTCACACTTATGACTTTTTTTCCCTAAGGAGTTGCCTTTGAAGATATTTTCTGATAATTTCTCCTAGTCCTTATTCTATTTCCAGTGAGGGGAGAGGAAGAGAACACAAATAGTATTCTTCCCCTATTTATTGGAATATACCTTTACTGTTTTATAATCTAGCATTTAAAAAATCTGTGAAAAATAAAAAGAATGATAGGAATTTTCTTTATATTTTTTAAGGTCCTAACTTTGACTACTTTTTAGCTTGGCATTCAAAAATAAGTAATGGTCAAAAAGTATATAATTTTTAAAAATTTCACTCTCTCACACAAAAAAATCAAGAGAATGAAATATACATTTGCCTACTGATTTAACTAGATTTCCTTTTCAGTTAAATGCCATGGAAGAAATCTTTAAATCTTTAAACCTTTACATTCTACAAAATGAGTTTTCTTGAGCAAAGATTTTCAGTTCCTATTTCTTGAGGTTAATTTTCTGTTACTCTAGTGGGAAAATGAATCATTTAACTTTTTTTCCCATTTTATTTCTCTCGGCAAAAAAAGTCCATTTTATATAGATTTTGTTTTCCTTCGCTTATGATATTATGTTTTAAAGATTCTTTAATCTCTTGGAAAAACTATATGTCATTTTAATGTCACAAATGTATATTGTAATTTGTAAATGAGATAGTTTTTTTCTGACATATTTTTGTTTGTTGCATATAATAATTTAGAGTTTTCAAAGAATAAATTTAAAGCCCATTTTATTTTGGGTGGAGGCTAACATTTTATTAGTGTCTTTGTCACATTTATATGCTACCTTTCTCAATTTGACCATATCTGCCTAAAAATTGCTTTCTGTTTCTAGAGAGTATATAGGACAGGACTGATAAATAGGAGAATGGGGGCCTAGATTGGCACCATGATGGACTCATACTAATCTTTTACCTCAGGAAATGAAATTAAGGCTATTCATCCACAGAGGTATAGGGTGAGCTTATGAAACTTGAAGTGGTGGAGGCAGATTTGGAATTCCTGCGGGAGCAGCCATTGAAACTTGGGTCTCTTGGTGTTGCTCTTTTCTTCCGACTGGACCTGGCGGTATCTGCATCGCTGGGGTCAAAAACCACTGTCATGGACTCCATCCTGGTCACGGTGTACATACTGCTTTGCCGGGTTGGATGAAACCTGGTGGTCTTAAGCTCTAGCTCATCATAGCTGGAAACTTTGATGAAAGGACACCAGCGAAATGCTCTCTTGAAGCCAGCTCGAAATCTGAGGAAAAGCAGGCCATGGAAAGAAAAAGTTGTTTTTTTCAAGCAGATATGTCTTTCAGCTGCCACAGAAAATTCTACTTAAGGTAGTTATAACAACTCAGTTTTTGAGTTTGGTTTTTAGCCAAACTTAGAATTTGTGTCACAGTATTGTTGTTAGTCTTTTAGTTCTTGTTTGAATTGAATTGAATGGAAATTAATTTCCCATTAATGAGAAGCATTGATTCCCAGCAATGAAAAGCATCTCATTCCCACCAGTGAGAAGTCATCAATAGCAAACACATAGCATCAGATAACCAATTTAGTAAAGAAACAGCATATTTTTCTAAAATAATTTTATACATTTACATAAATATAATTGAATTAGGCTGGCTAATTAAGGCACTTAAAAATGATATATTTCAAAATAGCTCATTTCAGAAATGATTACACATTTATAAAGTCTCATTTAATGTTAGAATTAATTGCTAATCTTGATGGTTTTTATCTAATCATGTATGAAAGTACAAAATCCTTATCTTTGTAAACCTTTAAATGAAGTTGATTAAAAGTGGATGTAATGCTGTGGGGTGGTGGGAATTGAGATATGGCTTATGCAATTAGTGAAAAAAAAGGCAATAATTAATTAAGTATTTAACAAACTTAAGGCACAGTGTGGTAGAGCCCCAACTGGGAAGAGAGAGCTTACGATTTAATTCATGCAGTTACTTACATAAAGTCCCAATTCTACTTGCAAAAAAACCACATTGACTTATTGCAGGACTTACCAACCCTATGAAATTTAACCCTACCCCTTCATGTGCTGACCAATAAAACCAACGTGATTTTATCTGGAAAGCAGATTTTATCATTTTTTTCTAGTTTTACATTTGACTATAAATATTCTCACTTTTCATTTTTTAACTTCATAAACATCTTTCCCTTGACCACCGTGATTTCTTCACAAGCCATCTCCATGGAGGCTGCACGCTCTCTTACTTACCCCACCTCACCATGCAGGAAGGAGGATTGGAGCTCCCCTTGTTTTTACAAAACCTTCTACTTCGAAGTTTATTTATTTACAACGTATCCTTTTTAATAAAGTCTGCTCACATATGCCATCATCTCTCCATCTTACAGAAATTATTCAAGAATTTCTAGGAAGTATCTTCATTTCTTTGAAGATTTGAGCATATTTTCAATTCTCCTTCAATCATGAGGGTACTTCTTTTTCTTTGGCAGGTAAAATTCTGAGCTTTTGGAGGAAGAAGTTGGCCCATAGAAGAATCATCCAGTTAGAACCCCAAGAACATTATTTGGGGCATCTAATTATTAATGTGGGATGCTTTATAAAGTGTGTATGGGGGTCTTAAAAGATAAAGCCTGTGCCTCTCTCAGAGAATTCTTAAATTATCCCTTCCTTCTGCACTTTGAATTTGCACCAAGAAAATGGAACATTGTATGTTTCCAGCGAAGGCAGGTGTGACAAGCAACTTGCATTCCGTTTTGTTTTTACCTTTTATTCAGACAGCAGTAGATGATGGGATTGTACATGGTTGAGCTCATTGCCAGCCAAAAGCTAGCCAGGTAGACCTGCTGGATGTATTTCCATCTATTTAGTTGTTGATAGATTGCAGTGAGAATGAAGTAAATATGATAGGGCAGCCAGCAGATAGCAAATGTCATGACAACAATAATCATCATTTTGACAACCTATAAAGAAAAAAAGTCATTTTTTACAAACATAATACTCATTGAATATAATAGTTCCAACAGCTTATTGCAAATCATGCTTTTCTGATAATACACATCATGCCTAGGGAACAGTCAATATATTAAAAAATGGTGAAGCAATATAGGGACAGTTGCCTAAGGTAAGTCTCAAGAAAGTATGCTATGTCACTATTCATTTCTACCTATCTAAGTGAATGGGTAGTGCTAACTCAAACACAGACAAATATATTTTGATTGGCTTGAAGAAAATAAGTGTTTACAAAAACCCAGAAAGCCTGGAACAGAGAGAGATAGGAACTAGGATGTGGCTGTGTAGCCTGCATTGTACAATAGTGGAGACATTATCTCCAGGAAATCAAGTAAGTCACTATGGAGGTTTACTAGGCTGCTAGGGCTGGGCTTGTTCAAGTTAGTACTCTTTTATAGCCTGACTATAGCTTAAGACTATTCAGATTTCTTTAATAGACTGCTCACTATGCAACCTTATGAATATTAATTTGGTTTCTCTTATAGTCTGATATTGGGGAAGATTTCCCCAAATAGTGATTATATGTAAATATTCACATTAGTGTGAGGAAAATACTAACTTCAGATTTGCAAATAGGTTATTGGTTTATGCAACTGTTTTATGCATTAGCTTTTATGACTTTGGTAAGCATAGGCCATTTCCTTTGATTGTATACTATCCTGGACAGCTCTAATCAAAGTAGAATGTCAGCTATTATTTCTCTTCCACTAGGCCTAAAATTCCTGAAGACAGAATAGTCTAAACTATCTTTTTACTCCCAGCATCTACCACAGTCCTTGGTATATAAATAGGTAAATAGATATAGAATGAATGAATAATAAATAGCAATGTACAGTTTGTAGCAGGAGGTTGAAATGAAGGATGTTTTGTGTGTCTCTAAATAAAATAAAATCTATTCCATTGTCTGTGTTTATAAGAAAGGTAGAATCAAAGGTATTAAACACTGAGCACCTTGGCTTTTCATTTAAAATAATATTCTCTGAGTATCTCGTTTGATATTTCTCAGAATCAGTCTATCTGCTAAATACGTTCATGTCTCTTTTGGGAATCTGGAAATACTAAAAAGTTTAAAATAAGATACTTTAAGCTAAATAATTTTGAAGCTTACCTGCAGTCAGATTAAAACAAATCAGGGAAAGCTCTGATGTAAAGGGCCTATGAGGCTCCTCAGAACTAGGAAGATACAGTATTTATAAAATGGACTTGTCATTTGACTGCAAATTAGGAATTCAGATGAAGGTTGGCAAGGTTTAGTCACGAGAGACATGATTTTAGAAACAGATAAAGCATGAAATGGATCAATGTGGAAGGTAACTCTTCCCTAAGGGCCAAACTACTGTACCATCCAGGTGACCAGCACTGAGCAGATGGAAATTGGCGATCAGAGATGAAAATCCAGGTCAACAGCTCACGAAATGTCATCACTGGCCACAACATATAACATCTTTTGATTTTCCCAGTGTTCTTCAAATTACATTGCTTTCTTCTGAGGAACTACTTTTGCATTTCTGCATTTTATTTCTCAGATTTCCTATTCATAATTCATATATTTGTGAAAAACAAGTGATGTAATTTAATTTACATTTATGCAATATTTTACATATTTAATTAATTGTCTTTCAATTGCACATTAGCAAATTGAGGCAAAAACCCAAAGCTCTGACCACTGTGATTTGTGTAACTAAGAAAGATCTTTCTTTTCTTTTTACCCTCTGTTTACAGATAAAAACATCTGTCGAATACCTTGAGTCTAGAAAATAACATTGAGAAAAATAGTGGACCAATTCCTTATCCAGAAGTTTACAATATAATGAAAAAAAAAGAAAATGTACAATTTTAATAAAAATGCATGCATTGAAATGTTGAGTATGAACATGTGCAGATAAAATTTAAAATAGTATTTATGAGAATCTACTAGCTTATTTTAACAAAGGCTGACTCAATACATGCCTACTAACTGTAGGTTCAAAGGATATTAGACTAAATGAAATGGGTCTATTGATGTTTTCATTGTTGAATTTGTGAGCATTCTACTATTCCTTGAACAGGGTAGTTAAGCTCCAGCCATAGATTATTTTCCCTGGCTCCTCTCTCTACCTAGAACACTCTTTTAACCATGATTCCCAGGGTTTAAGTACCTCGCCTCCTTCAAGTCATTGCACAATTGTCATTTTTTTTTGAGTGCTATTCTGACCAACTGATTTAAAATCGCAATCTGCCCTTTCAGCCCTTCCAGAACCTCTTAGCTTGCTCTTTCTCTTCAGTTTGTTATGTTTTTTTCTTTATTTTGTGTCTCCTGATGCTGGACTGCAAAAGAGCAAGGATTTTCTGTTTGTTTTGTTCATTTGTATTTCTGGCACCTAGACTGGACTTCATACATAAAGGGTACTCAGAAATTTTTTAAATGAACAAGTGAAAGTGACTATAAAACAAAAGAAACTGAAAGACACAGACAGTTAAGTAATGTCTAAGATTTTACTCAGTCATCAATTACTAGTATCATTTGTTTTTCATTTAAGATGACCATGTGTATGTAAAATGAGCATGGAATTTACTGCTATTTTTGCTTTCAAGGCAAACAAATTTAAAAAGAGAATGAGTCCAAAAATAATATAACTTTTTCTTTTTCTTTTTTTTTTTTTTGAGATGGAGTTACTCTGTCACCTAGGATGGAGTGCAGTGGCGCAATCTTGGCTCACTGCAACCTCCGCCTTCCGGGGTCAAGTAATTCTTCTGCCTCAGCCTCCCTAGTAGCTGGGATTACAGGAGTGCGCCACCACACCTGGCTAATTTTTGTATTTTTAGTAGAGAAGGGGTGTCACCATAGTGGCCAGGCTGTTCTCAAACTCCTGACCTTGTGATCCACCCACCTCGGCCTCCCAAAGTACTGGGATTACAGGTGTGAGCCACCACACCCGGCCTAATATAATTATTTTTATGGGGCACATGAAAGCATTAGATTTCATTCTAAGCAGATGTTAAGAGCAAGTAAAATATCTTTGAGAATGTTAACATAAATTGTATTTGAATCATTTTATATAGACTGACTACAAACTCCCTATGCACAAAATTGTTTTCTGACAATTGCTGAAAACCTGCTAAGGCTATCAGAGTCCTTTTAGATAAATTTCCATTTTCAAAGTGCAAAAAGTTCAGAAAAACATGCAAAAATTAAAATGCATGTGGAAAATGGAACAGAGACTTCAGATAGCTTCTAACTCACATACAGAGGGCCTTTAGGACTTGTGAAAGATTTATAAACATTTTTAAAATTTTAAGAAAAGTTTAAAATACCCTACAGCATTTTTTAAAAGTGAAACAGCAGCTATAATATATTTTCTGTACTTATTTCCATATAATACTGTTACCTTGGCTCTCTGCTTACAAAGTCTTGTAGTGTTATTTCAGATGATGAACTCTCTGGACCCTAGTTTTGATGTGAATGCAAACGTAGGCTCTTGGGTGGGAGAAATTGTCTGCTTTGTGAAATGCTGAAATCACAAAATTGAAATCACCCTCCTGATAAAATGCCAAAGAAAAGAACTCTTTGAAGCATGAAGCTTGAGCAATGATAGATGTGCAGGTACTATGAGCAATTACCACTCTATTGCATGGCTGAACAATGGTAACAGGGCAGACAGGCTATGAACTGTTAAAGAGAAAAAAGAATCAGGTGGTGAACTTTCAGAATCTTGAGATTTTTAGGCAAGATCGAGATGACAATCTGGGACAGAGAAAGTTCAAATCTCTCATCATGTCTTAATAATGTTATTAAGTGGGTAGCCACCCATTATCCTTGGAAACTTGCAAGCAGGATGAAGGAGGAAAGTGGGGACATGTAATGTAGCCCTTACAAAGTTATAGTGCCTATTTTTAGCAGTTAAGAATCTAACTACATAGGCAGGATGGAATTGCATGTCCTCATATATTAGTGAGAATAAACTTTGGATACCTCTCCTTCATGTATCGAAGGGGAAAGAGCTTAGATTTTTGTATATCGTACAGATTAGACTGAAATGCCTACAGCTGTTCTTATCTATCACATTAAATTAGTGTAGGATGGATGATTTTGAGGTTTGGGTTTTAAAAGCAAAAATTAGTTTAGGAAATTAACTAAAATGCTGACAACTATTTAGAAAACTCTAGGGGTCATATTCTTTGGTACAGGATTGATTCTTTCTAAATGCTTAGAATAAAAATGGTCAGCTTGGTGTGACAAAAAACAAAACAAAACAAAACTTCTTGTTTTGATTAGAATCTCCTTAGAGCATATGTTTTGAAGAATCATCCCATGGACCACACCCTACCACTTGTTCATATCTGTCCTCTGCACAAGTGTTCTCAAATGAATCATTACTTTCCTTTAAGTAAAAATTTCAAGCCATTTTTTTTTCTAATCACAAATTGGCAGAGTAAAATAATATACTAAAGGGTAAGATGTTTTAAAAATTAATAAAAAGCATCAAAATTGAAAGTATTACTTCATAGGCTATTTAGGTTTGGCTTTTGGTGCTTCACTTTCAAAGAAAAGAATTTCAGTATCACATGATATTTTGCAGAGTGCAGGATGGCTCGGAAGATAAATTTGGCCGGTAATTTCAGGACTGGGTGAGAATATAGGCATTTTATGTGAGTGTCATCTAAGAAATTGGGCACTGTTGCCAAATCCAACTAACATGCACATTCAGTTAACATTAGCCTAGAGCAATGCCTATAAGAAATTGTGTCAAGCCCAAGCAAATGAAAAAACCTGTGTGCATGTATATGCAATTATGGAAAACATATGTGTGTGTGTGTGTGCACGTGTGTGTGTGTTGTATTGTGTTGTGTTGTGCTTGCAATCTATTTCTTTACATTTCATTGGTCATGTTTCCTTTTTAAAGTAATTTTATGTTTTCAATGTAAACTTGATCTTTGAGAGCACTATAAGATTTCAGGCCTATAGTGGTAT